TACGGGGGCGGGGACACGGTTACCTGCGAGGGCTCCGCCGCTCCCGCCAGGGCCGCTCTCCTGGTAACCGCGGCAGCTACACTGAGGCCGAGCCTGGAGGGCCTAGTGACAGCTCCCAGCGTGCACCGCGCCGGCGCCCACGCCCACGCCCACGCCGGCGTCGACGTCGGCCCAGAACTCTACATTCCTCCCCCGTCAGTTCCTCCGCCCAGGCGCTGGCTGTCGCCAGGGCGCCCCCAGCGGAGTGTCGGGGAAGCGACCGCGGCCCGCAGCTGCAGAAGTGGGCCTGGAAAGGGCTCTGTAGCAGGCGCTTTCAAGTCGCCAGTCCCAGCCCTGTCCGTATAGAGCTTGAAGCGATGCTAGGAATTGAAAATAGTGTTTAAATATTACTTAAATAATTATTTAAGTATAATTTAAATAATTCCTTTGTATTTCTTATATGTGACATTGAAAGACTTAGGAGACAAATAGTCCTTATCAGCTTTGTAGTGTGTCTAGAACTCTCTAAATCAAGTAGTTAAGCACTGTTTTGCCTAGTCAAAAAAAAATTTTTTTTTTAACCAATGTTGACTATATGAAAATCTTTAAAAATGATCAAACACCAATTATGAAGAGCATAATGTGCTAAGAATGTTACGTCAATATAATGTGTCAGTATTTAAGCACTTAATAGCTGTGAGAATTAACGATCGGACGTATGCGTTGAAATCACCCTTCATCTCCAGTGGTGCAGCAGTTTTCCACCATCTCCACTGAAGAACATTTCGGTTCACCAACGCTGTAAACCAGGCAGTAAATGTTTCGGTTTTCGAACACACGTTGGAAGTCGAATGTGCCACACAGCTTTGGCTGAGTGCAAGGTCCTGAGGCCTAGCTGTTGGCTGTTGAGTCCTGAGCACCCGGGCAACACGGAGGTGGTATTTGGGCTTATTTGGTGACTGTGTGTGATTGATCTGTGCTTATCGCATCTCAGGAGAACTCTTGCAACCAATTTGTTTTTGTGACTGTGTGCAATCAATTTGTGTTCATGTCATTTCAGGAGCCCTCTGCCAATCACTCCTTGCTGTGAGAAATGAATAAAAACTGCAAAGCCAAGAGATTCATTAACAGAACAACAACAGAGGTGAAGAAGGAAATTATTTCCAAATGTGAAAGTGGTATCCGTGTATGTGATCTGGCAACGCAGTCTGGTATAGCCAAATCTGCAATTTTTACCATCTTAAAAAATAAAGAAGCCATTAAAGGAGCCAATGTTGCAAAAGGTGTTAAAACACAAGACAAAGAACACAGACAATTGAAGAAGTGGAAAAATTGCTTTTCATATGGATAAATGAAAAACAGTTGGCCAGAGACAGCATTTCTGAGAGCATGATTTGTGAAAAAGCTTTACATTTGCATGCTGAACTCATCAAAAACACCCCTGGAACAAGTGCTGAGAGTGATATTTTCAAGGCAAGTAGAGGGTGGTTTGAAAAGTTTAGGAGGAGAAGTGGCATACACAGTATTGTGAGAGATGGTGAAGCTGCCAGTGCCAACAACGAAGACGCTGACCAATTTGTTTTGGAATTTGAAGATTATGCAGAGGCAGAGGGTTTCCTTCCCTAACAAGTTTTAAACTGTGATGAGACAGGTCTCTTTTGGAAGAAAATGCCAAAGAGGACCTACATAACAAAGGAGGAGAAATCATTGCCAGTACACAAGTCCATGAAAGACAGGCTGACCCTTTTATTTTGTGGGAATGCAGGTGGGGATTTTAAGTTGAAGCCTTTGCTAGTCTACCATTATGAGAACCCCAGGGTATTTAAGAAAAACAATGTGATAAAAAGCAAATTGCATGTGATGTGGAGGGCAAACAGCAAAGCTTGGGTAACCTGCAATTTTTTATTGAGTGGTTTCATGAAGTGTTCAGGCCAAGTGTAAAAAAATACATCCAAGACAAAAATCTTCTAATGAAGTACTTGTTTGTTATGGATAATGCTCCAGCTCACACTCCAGGCTTGGAGGACGAGTTGATGGAAGAGTTCAGTTTTATTAATGTAAAGTTTTTGCCCTCTAATACGACTACACTCATCCGGACCATGAACCAGCAGGTCACATCTAATTTTAAGAAGTTTTACACCAAAGAACTGTTTCAAAGGTGCTTTGAGGTGACCTTGGACATAGAGCTAACCCTCAGAGAGTTCTGGAAGAATCATTTCAATATCCTACATTGCTTACATGTCATAGACAAGGCATGGAGAAATGTGTCTCACAGAACAATGAAGTCAGCATGGGAGAAATCGTGGCCAGAAGCTGTCCCCAAATGCGTATTTGAGGGTGTTGAAGAGGATGCTCCTGTTGTTGAGGATATTGTGTCTCTGGGAAACCCCATGGGCTTGGAAGTGAGTAGTGATGATGTGGAAGAGTCATTGGAGGACCACAAGACTGAACTTGCCATAGAAGAACTTCAAAATATTCTGATGGAGCAGCAACCGGTGGCAACTGAGGAATTGTCTTTGGAAGGGGAGGAGGGAAGAGAAAGTGTTTTTACTGCACTGATCAAAGAAATGTGCTCAAAATGGGATGAAGTACAAATTTTTGTTGAAAAATATCACCCTGATAAAGCTGCTGTAAGTCAAGCCACTAACACTTTCAGTGATAATGCTATGTCTCACTTTAGACAAATTTTAAAACATCGGAAAGAGCAAATGTCAATTGAATAATTTTTAGTGAGGAAAAGATCCAGTGAGTCTGAACCAGGTGTCAGTGGTGTAGAAAAATCAAGGGAATGGCAGGAGAGGGGTCACCTACAGTGATTCTGGAAGAGGGCTACAGAACACCTGAGCAACAGTCACCTATTGTGATTCTGGAAAGGACCACAGAACACCTAAAGAACAGTCACCTACTGTGATTATTGAAGGGGACCCCCCCATCCAAACCATGACTATCATCATGGCAGATAAGAAAAAAATTACATTTTCATTTTTGTCATCTACAGTACTGTTTTTACATTGTGTTTGTTTATTATTGCTTTTACAGTACAGTATATTGTGTTTATTGCTTTCATTGTGTATCATTTTCTGGATCTGTGGTATCATTAGATAGTAAAATTCATGCTAAATTGCTGTTTTAGGAGCTGATTTTAAAGGTCTGGGACGGATTAATCCACTTTGCATTACTTTCTATGGAAAACTGTGCCTTGGTTTTTGAACATTTCAGAACTTGAATGGTCTTCTGGACTGGATTACATTAAAAAACCAAGGTACCACTGTATTTGAGACGAAAGAGTGGTAAACTTAATCCTTTTAACTGCGTTGTTTGATCATCATGATGGATACAGGGACTTTTGAAGCAATATAATAAACTTTTAAAGCTTCAAATACCAATTTTATAAAAATTGTCTTAAACTAGTGTATCTAGGATAGGGGTTTTATTATTTATTCGGACAATCTCCAGATGAATGTTGGGTGTGTGGTAATTATGACCTTGAAATGATAGAGTATCAATAAACATACGATTTTCTGTATACAAACATTCACTTTTTCTGTTTTTAAAAACAAACAGCCTCTTGTTTTAAAAGAATTCTTCTTATAATGCTTCTGTGGCTTTATATTTTAATATTTCCCATTGTAAGTATTGACAGCACACTAGATCCTTTTCTTTACTGTGTCGAACTTCCCCAAATTATCGTCTAGTAGTAATGAGATTAGGACTACTGAGTCAGTTTTAACCTCTGCAAAAGTGAATTTCCAACACACACTCACACGGAATCATTCTTATCTTCCTTTTTTCAAAGGTTATAGGAATGGTTAATCCTGTGATTCATGTTTCTGGTTTAGCCACACTATTCTGCATAGGGAGCAGAAAAGTTGCTACTGTTTCCATCCTGGAGTAATGGTGTCTAATTTGAGAACCAACCCCAAGTCAATCCTGGACATCTGTGGCCTCTGACAGAGAAGGATACTGAAGGACCACCCATAGTTCATAAAAATGAAATCACAGGTCACGAAAACAAGCCAAACCAAAACAAAAAACAAAATAAAGCCAATTTGAGGTGGAGAATTCTGCTCTCTCGGGCCTCCAGGAAGCAGTGCCTGCCTGTATTGCCTCCCTCCATCATCTCCCTCTCTTCCAGCCTCATCCCCATCCAGGCTAGCGAAAGGAATGCACCCCGCCTCTGATTTTTCACGTCATTTCCAGGAAGACTATGGCATCAGGTCGCGCCCATAAGCAGCAGAGCGGGAGGACAGTTGGGCTCTCCCGCCCACCTTGAAAAGGCTCACAGCCCCCAGATCAAGTCCTGGAGGAGGCGCGCTCTCCGACCGGCAGGTGGCGCTGTGGGCTGGCTGTTTCAGCCGACCCATCG